GCAAACTAAGTAAAATATATACGTAATATATTATTTTAATGATATTATATAAAACTCAATGAATACCATGTATTATTGAAGACAACGAATATTATGTATATGAGGAGAAAAGGAAACGTCGTTTTTTATAGACTTTTTATCCAAATTTATAATACAAATCGATGAATATTGTTGTAAACTGGCTCGATCTTGTGTTGTTAGATGTTATTGAAGTGATCTTACTTCACACTGATAATAAATAGGTTTATTAGAATATTGAGCCATATTTTGTTCAACTTTAAATAGAATGTGCTAAGTTGAGTTCTATATAATTATACTTCGAAATATGAAGGTTATATTTTACATTGTAATAGTTTATTATATTTTTTTTCGTCTTACGTGAAATATGATGACACTTATTTTTATCTTTAAGTTTTGTTAAGTCACTCGGATGATTCAAGTCTGAGATTTTTAATAAAATTTTTCTTTTATTTATCCATCTTTTTATAAATGTATAAATACAAGCGAGCTGGAATAATTGTGTACATTCGGTTTTTTAAACATCTTTCTGATTTTATTTCATTTATTGATAAGAGAACAAAATTTACAACTCCTGTCAAAGTTTAACTAATGAACGGAAAACCAAACTAGTTCATAATAAATTGATCTTTTTCTATGATAAATTGTTTCGAAGAAATATATATACTGAGTTAAAAAATAAAATTTCAGTTTCACATAATTGAAACAAAAGATTTATTTTTTTTTTATTTAAAAAAAGCCAGAAAACCAAAAATAATTGCATATTTTTATTATCGACTGAATTCTGCCTTAGAAATAAGTGTTATTAGAAACAATTACAAAGATATCTTCGTCGAGAATACACTCTTACGAGCAAATATAGCTCACATGTAAGTAGCTTGTTCTTTAATAAGTTCATCTGTTCTAGCCTGCGTCATCGCACTTATCATCTACGTGTCGAAAATTAAAAATAACTTGTTCTGTACTATGCCTCTAGGATAGAGCTGACCATCAAGTGGTTCTGATGGTGCCGCAGTTCGAATCTGCGAGAACAAGATGTTTTTTTTTTCTGAAATTTTTTGAAACGCGTCTGGACGAGTTCTCATTTCTGAGCGCGTTCACACGCGTCTAGTCCAACAGATCCGTTCAAACGCATCAGATGTTTCACCTGACGTCTAGATGCGTTTGAATGCGTTCGGATTTTTTAACGCATTTGAACACGTCAGATGTTTCATCGCTCGTGTAGACGCGCTTAGACGCGTTTTTGAAACGCGTCCAGATGCATCTGACAGACGCATTCAGACGCATCAGATGTTTCATTTTAGATGCGTTCAGACGCGTTCTTATAGCGTTTCAAACGCATCTAAAACGCGCTTGAAAACGCGTTTAGGCCCTATAAATTTTTACATGGGACATTCTACATTTTCAAGATATTTCAATTTTCATGTTTGCACAAGATAACAAAACCATACATATCTCTATACTATCATATTGAACAAATAGATATACAAATTAGTTCAGGAGTATATTAGAAAATTAAGCAAAATAAAAAAAAAGAGAATTATGAGCGGTGGAATCAACTGAATGTACCATCCAATAACTCTATAAGAACTTCTGCATATTTTGATTAAAGCATTCATAATGACATAGACTTGAAGGGGCAAATAATCATGATAGGAGAAATATTTATTACATTCTCAATAAGTTCTATTCGCGTACAGATGTATTTATGTTATAAGACTAACTGTCAAAATCTCTGCATGGTTACTATCTCGTTTATTTCAGTGATAAAGAACTACTCCTTATTTTTAGAACTCATCATATTTCAAAACAAAGAAGTTCTTTTTCTAAATTTAAACATTCAAGGAAAAATTTATTTCTTTACTGCAATAAGAATTAAGTCGATTTTTTTTTACTAAAGTTGATTATTTTGCGTCGTACAACAATATCCATTTTTACTCAGACAAAAGATCTCGGAACTTGTTCAATTGTCTAGAATGACTTTTATCTTCACTGACATTAATCGTTATTGTGCTAAATGATATCTTTCGAAACTTTTGTTCGATTTTTTAAAGCTTCTAATGCTTATTGATTCTTCAAGATGGATCTACCATGAGATAAATGGAGCTGTTCAAATTATTTTCTGTGATCTCTTACAAAAACAAAAAAATAAAGTCATGACATAACTATTTTCGGAGAGGGTGTGGGTGTGGGGTGGGGCATGGGGTGGGTGTGGGTGTGGGGTGGGGCATGGGTGGGGTGTGAGTATGGGATGTGGGTGTGGAGTGTGGCTATGGCTGTGGCTGTGAATGATAGTATTCTTTCGTTCACACCCACACCCACACCCACACCCATCCACACCCACACCCACACACCAACCATATCACTTTCTTTTTATATATATGAAGGGATTAGAAATGAGTTATGAGATGGGAAACCAAGTTACTCATATGATAGCTGAAGTGATCCGAATTACGAGTATATTTATCTGGATATAGATGTGGATATTCTCGTCATTCATTCGCAAGTAACACACAAAGAGATGTTTTTTTCTCATCATTACTTGTAATCTTTCTCAACACACTTCTGTGCTGAAATCCGCCAAATGTAGATACACTGTATATTAAACAAGTCATTTTACCGAGAAGAATGAAATATTTTAAAATTTTCTTCATTCAAGCTTTCTATATCATGATATTGTAATCAGATATGTCCACCGGATAGAGAAGAACAAGATTGTTATGCCTTGCATATTTCAAAATTCATTGTATATTTTACTATTATCTGATACTAATGTTTCTAGTCATGATGTTTGCTCAACTAATACGATCGTAAGCACTCTACATATTAAGATATCCAACATCACTGCTCGACATTTTAAGTTCTATAGAAGTATTCCAAAAGCCATAAATGTAACTTCACCTAGTGAGTACACTTTCTATGGCTTAGGAGTTTCTGTTTTGGATGTGGATGTGGATGTGGGTGGGTGTAGATGTTGGTAGTTGTTCTCTCATTCACTGATACCAATACCTACACCCATAACCCATCCTCAAGATGAGATTTCAATAATTATATATATATTTCTTTTCTGTCAGAATAAATAATATTTGATTTTTGTTGTCTTCAGTGCATGTAATTGGCAAAAAAATCTATTAATTGTATCAACATGTGTTGCGAAACTTTTTTCAAACGCATTCGGTAGAGCTTTTCGCGAATCGTGATCAATCACATTTTTATGTGAATCGTTCTGTACACAGTTGTAATATGAAACATACTTGGATAATGTCCAATTTGACACTATAGCCGACACAAATCGTTACGGATATGGTCACTGGCACCGGTGTGAATTCCTGAGGCTTTTGGCGATTGATACCCATACCGAATCTTGTCCAGAATTGTAATTGGTAATTAATTGTTGTAGAAAAATATTGGATGTTAGAAACTATCCTTGAACAGCATTCTATACTGAAAGGTAGTCAAAAGGTAAGTTTATTCTTTTTCTCTTGAAAGAGTAATGGCTAGACATTTTATATTGAACAGAAGATGAAAATACAACGATATTTATTTGAGATGAAAATTTGAAAAATTTCCATATTTATCATGATCTCTGACTATTTTTCACTAGTAACTTTAATATTCAATCATTTGCATATTGACTTTTATTACCCAACATTGAAGACAGTAATATCACACCATGATAAAGTTAAAATTCATGATGAAAAAATTCAGTAAATGTGAGTTTCTGATCAGTATAAACTATAGCAGTTTTGAATCTTCAGTCGAAGAATATTATTGGTACAGGAGTTCGAGGTGTAAGTAATGCATTGCGGCATAATTCAATGAAATAATTTCCCAAATGATTTAAATCAGCTCATTTTTTCTTTGTTTATTATCTCTACAAATACTCAGTACATGGTAGACCAGACAAATGAAAGATAAAATTGAAACTATGACTTCAAAACGGAATAAATGTTTAAGCTTCTTTTCAATAAATCCACACTTTTTTAACACTGTGCACTATATTTTTCAAATGCACATGCTCTGTTTTACACTAATTCTTAGAAAAGTATAAAGTAAAGTGATGAGATTCCCACAAGTATAACTTCTGGCAACAATTCTAGCATAAACATTGCTATTATAGAAAGTCGATAATACACGAGTTTATTGATATTCTAACAGTCCAAGAAGTATTTAGAAATTATTTTGCATCCATGGTTTAGAAAATAGTTTTAATTGAAATTTGGGGTGGGTGTGGGTGTGTGGGGTATGGGTGGGTGTGGGTGCGTGGGTGTGGGGTGGGTGTGGGCGTGGGTGTGAGAGTGTGGAGGTGGGTGGGGGACGGGGGTGTAAGAGTGTGGATTTGGGACGTGGATGTGGGTGGATGGGTGTGAACCAAGAAAACAGGTACACCCACACCCACACCCACCCACCCACACCCACACCCACACCCAGTGGCGGGCCGCCACGAGGCAATTGGGGGCAATTGCCCCACCCAAAAAAATTTTTAATTCAATATTTACTCGTTTATTTATTGACTTCTGTAAGCGAATCAAAATATACACAATTAGTAAAAGTACCTGTACATCAGCGACACCCGATAGCGAATCATTAATATTCGTTCAGATAGAATTCAATTAATGATCAATAAAGTCTCTCATTCGAAAAAAATTCGAATCAACTAATTTTGCTTTTGTATGTGTATACGAGTACTTTATTTCTTATTTTCCTCTGTTAAATAACTGGTCAGATCTATAAATTAAACTATTTTATCAAACAAAATATTGTACATAATCATCTATGTACTTGTTAAATGTTACTGACAAAAAAAAGTCAAATAGAATTACAAAAATTCTAACTTCTGATGTACATTTTTTGTGATATTTCAGATTTAAAAGTACGAGATTATTAAATGTCAAAAAAAATAACGTGTTGACAAATTATTTCAGAAGAACTACGAAAAATGTTAATAATGAATCAATAATACAGCCTGCTGTATCAAGAGATCAGCAAGAAAAAGAAGAAATTGAATTTGAATCACCTTCGTTTAAACGGTTGAAGTTATCTGAAGATAAAGGTTCATCAACATCAACATCACCAACATGTTCAAGAGCATTAGAGTCTTTAACAATATCTGCATCTTCACAACCATCATCACCACATCCAATATTATCTAAAACTTCACCACAAATAACATCAACACAGTCGTCAAAATCAGCACATAAATCATCGCCAACTGGTGCAAGAGCTTTAGCACTTTTAACCATATCAG